TAATTAGCTTGTATAAAAATCATGCACAACTAATACATCTATACGCAAAATACAGACTCAGAAAAAAGTCTAATAAACTTTCAGGAGAATTGTCTAACAAATTGTTTTCTCTAGTTTCGCATCAGGTTTTGAAAATTTACATATTCACATTCATACCATCAAGAATGGAGGAAAAGACCTATGATGATTAAAATGGAAGGAAAGTCAATGCAATCCTCTAAATCAAATAAATCACAATATGAATCATGAAACCATAAGAATTATGAAAATCACAAGTAAAATGAGCACTTGATTCTTGGCACAGAAGTACAAAACCCAATCACAAATACAAAGAAATAGAAAAATAAAATAAAATAAAACAAATAAGTGGAGAACAAAAGGGAAAAGATGGAGATAGTAATTTTTGCTTTGCAAACTACAATTCTACATTACCAAAAAATATATTGGAGTATCCCCACTTTTTTTTCTTTTTTCTTTTTTTTCCATGATCATTGTACCAATTAAGTGAAAACTGCAATCAAGAAAATCATTTCAATTAAATTTTGCTTCAGTATCTATACTATCTATATTATATTATGTAATGTCAGCACACTCTTTGGTTTGAATCAGAAAATGAAGTTGTGTAACACTTTTTCCTTTTCCCTAAACAGTCCAATAAATATTGCTTTTTTACCGACTATGCTTGATTTCCATTAGCTTTGTGGAAATATGGAAACTTGGCTCTTCTGAACTCTGCTCCTATGCAAACTCTGCTACTGGTACAAAACTTTTGTAACCGCATAACTGTGGCTGAGAATGAAGAAGTCTATCAATTACTATTTCAAAATGAAGGCCCTCCCCCAAAACATTGGCTTTGAAGCATAATGATTATGGTTTTCAGAATCCTATTTCACAAAAAAATACTTTCTTGGAGAAGCAAAATTCTAGCATTCCAATCAAGAATCAGTCGTGATTTATTCTGGTCTTGTCATTGAAGGTTTTTCACTGTCAAGTTTCACTCTCTTGCTACCAATCACCACAAAAAACAGTTGAAGCATTATGTTCTCTACTACTTCCTCTTAATTGCATTGATTATTTGATTATATCTAACTATCTAACTATTATATAAAGCCAACACCATACTTAGTGTAGATGTCAAAAATCAAACAACACAAAAGAAATAAAAAAATTTAAAAAAAAATAATTTGAAGGCATCACAAGATCCATAAACAAAAAATAAGCAAACGGCAATAACATCAACATCTGAAAGGTGAAAAAAGGAAGCCCAAATGTGAAGAAAATCATGGAAATTAATAAAGCGTTTGAGTGACATACAAACACAGAACACATGCATTGAAATCAACATCAGGAAAGAAAGGAGACCTGTAACGGGAATGGAAGGGGGAGATGATGAAGGGACGAAGCTTGGATTTGCGATTGGAATGGGCACCGAGAGAAGGAAGAATACCAGTGGAGAGAGTGGTGTAAGATGTTCGTTCGTCGTCTCTAGAAATATGATCCAACTCACTATTACCAAACTCTTTATCCCCCCCTTCTCCGCATATTACTTCCTTCATCATCATCATCTTCTTCTTCTTCCTCCTCCTCCTCTTACCCATACCCATACCCTCCCACTCCATCTCTCTCTCTCTCTCTCTTCTTCTGTTGCATGCGTTGGGCTCGTGTCGTGTTTCCACAGTAATTCCAACTGCACCTATCATCATGGGAGCTTCTATTTGCACATTTCCAATCCCCTCTTTGCACACATTTAATAAAATTTATTTTTATTATAATTTTATTTTCAAGAAAAATTATTATTATAGACATTAAATAAACATATTTGAAAGGTGAATATCAAAAAAATAAAAAAAAAAATCGGAACTCTACTTCCGAACAAGGTATTTATTTTCGGAATGCTACTTTTGAACAAGGTATTTATTTTCGGAGTGCTACTTCCGAACCAATTATTTATTTTCGAAAATCTACTTCCGAACTAATTATTTATTAAAAAAGATGTGTAAAGAAGGGAATGTGTGTGTGCAAATAGAAGCTCCCTATCATCATCCAAGCCACCAATACACAATGACCTTCATACCCCTACTTGGCTTCTTTTTTTTTTTTAATTTGTTAGTTTATTAGTAAACCTTTTTTGTCAACCTACTATTTTAATAATTTTTTAATTCTTTAAGTAAAATATGAGATAAAAAAATTAATATGTTTGGAATATTTTTTAATTTTTTACGAAAAAATATGTAAAAAGTAGAGAGAATAATTTTATTGATTTTTTAGTATAGATCATAGACTTTTTAATTTTTTTAATAATTTTTTAATTTCTAAATTAAAATATTCACATGCCAAACGAGGCCTTAGTGTACAAACGTGTATCACTTAAAGAACTCATTGCTAGTCTATCAATTCTAACCTTTGACATTTTCTCATTATACTTAAGATGGAGTTACGCACCAACTTATCACTATCCTTGGCTATTAACATTCTCTATTTTATGTTGAAAATAAAATTTCTAATTCATGGTAAGGTTATGTTTGTTTTAGTCTGAATGCTTAGATTAACTTATACATGTTTATTTTGAAATAATGTTAGGAAATTAACAATCTCATGGGATTAGAATCCCCTCCAAATCCCTTTTTAAAAGGGTATTAGCAACATCATGGAGGGGTTTGATTGATTTAAGTCTAAAAATTAAATTCACTTTTTAAATTTAATGAAATGATAATTTATTAACCTATTTAAGTCAATTTTCTTTCTTATTTATTTGTTAATTATTAATCAATCATCTTATTTACATATCATTAAGTCTAAAAGGCGAACTTATATATTATTTTCTGGTTAGATTTCATAATTTAATCCCATGAGATTAGATATCAAAGTAGCATTATACTTTTTACTTTACAAAATAACAAACCTTCCTGCTATATTGTTGATTAGAATTAAATTTATAAATTTATGTAAAATCTTTTTATATATATAAAATAATTATTATTTTTTGTAAAGTACAAGTATAATTGTATTTTCACTTCTAATCTTAATCTTATGAGATTTCTTATAATATCGAATTATGAAACGCAACCCCCATCGGATTGATAATAACCCCTCTGTTGAGGAGATTCGTAGTCCCAACCACTTCCCCCTTCTCGGTGACGTTGTTGTAAAACAAACATCATCTATGTGGGATCTATCTGATTGTAAATCTAATTTCATTATTGGTTGACCAAAACAACACAAGGCCTAAGAATAAATAAGATTTAGCCATACAATTTGTTTAGTTTGGGTTGGTAAAAATAGGTTATACATTTAAATCAACTCAACACAACTCAAATTCACCCATTTAATAAATAAGTTTAAATGGATTAGGTTAAATTTGATACGGGTTAAACAAATAAACTCAATCAACTCATTTACTCTGTTTCTTTTTTTCTTTTTTTTTAAATTTAATTTTGGACAAATTACACCGGAAGTTACTATATTTTGGGTGATGCACCAATAAATTTCAAATTAACAACTTATACACTATTTAGTCCTAAAATTTTTCTTATAGACTGAAAGGTCCCATTATAGGGAAATTGACCATAGAGGGCATATACATCAAACATCATCATCATCAAAACAACATCAAACATTACAACGCCATTATGAAAACAACATCAAACATCATCATCAAAACAATATCAAATATCACAACATTATCATCAAACACCATCAAACATCATCATCAAAACATCAACTACATCACCATCACTAAAAAAACATTATCAAAATTCAATAACATCATAAAAACACCATCAAACATCGTCAACTACAACACCAACATCACTACAAAAAATCATCAAACATCAACAAAAACCAACGACATCAAACATCAACACAACAACATCAAAAACATCAACAACAACAACAACATCAAAAACATCAATAACAACAACATCAATCTTTTTGTTTTTTCTTTGTGGGTTTAGGTTAAAACCAAAAAAGAAGAACCCAAAAAGGCAAAGAGAGCCGAGATTTGCGTTCATGACAAACAGTGAGGTTGATCACTTGGATGATGGGTATAGATGGAGGAAGTACGGCCAAAAAGCTGTGAAAAATTGCCCTCTTCCAAGGTATAATACCATCACAGATTTTCCAATGTTTTGGTCCCCTTTTTGTTTGATATATGATTTTCTTAATAGTCCCTCTGAGATCGGAACATCAACATCAGCGACGTGAGATCGGAACATCAACATCAGAGATCGTGAGATCGGAACACCAACATCGCAACACGTCTGCAACATCAACGCCATGATCAACATCACAACATCAGCGCCGTGAGATCGGAACATCAGCACCGTGAGATCTCCCTCTCTTTCAGAATTGCTGATCAATTCGCTGGAAAACAATTACACAGCGATTCTATTCCTTGCGCAACGAGATCTCTGCAGCTCTAATTCAAAATAGGTAACTATATATATATATATATATATATGTATTTGTGTATCTTTCTTCTTTTGTTGAATCTGGACGTTTACATGTTCTATTTTTTTTTTTTTTGTGGGTTTGGTTTGAAATCGATTTCTGCGTATTGGGTTAATTTAGGTCTGATCTGTTCGTTGGGATTGTAAGAAGTTAGGGTTTCAAAGGTTTATGGATTGATTGGTTTGTGTTACTTCTGATGTTCACCATGTTGATGATGTTGCTATTGTTTATGATGATGTTAAAAACCCTAGGCGTTCTTATGATGTTTGATGATTTTGCTGATGTTTTGATGATGTTGATAATGTATGTTTGATATTGTTTTAATGATGATGTTTGATGTTATTTTGATGATGATGTATAAATGGGACTAAATGGTGCATAAGAAAACTTTTAGGACTAAATGGTTCAACTTTTCAGAAAATAGGATTTATGAGTAAATTTTCCCTATATTTTACCCATTGGGTTATTTTGGTTATTACACTTTCAATTGGTTCAATTTTGACATTTAATTTTAAATTTTGTTTCAATTTAGTCCAATTGATAATATAGTTAGCGTTTTTTGAGAAAAATTATCAATAAATTGGTTGAGATTAACTAACTTGGTTGAGTAAATTTATATATATTTTTTCCTTAAAAATATAACACATGACACTTATGTATGTATTTTTCATAAAAAAATATTAAGAATCGTAATCAATTGAACTAAATTAAGACAAAATCATATATTCAAGGTTAAAATCGAGTCAATTGAAATTTTAAGGATTAAAGCGACACAAGAACCAAAATATATGGATTACCATCGTAATTTCCCTTTAATTTTTTTTTAAAATAATTATATTTAATTTTTTAATTTTTTATTTTTTTATGACAACAATGGCGAGATGGTAGTGGCAACAATGGTAGTAGTGCGGTGACGATGGTGATAGTGGTGGTGTGGCAATAATGGTGGTGGTGGAGTAGCAGTAGTGGAAGAGGTGGTGTTGGTGGTGTGTCAATAGTGGCAGTAGCGGCGACGGAAGTGGTAGTGGAGTGTCAGTAGTGAAGTAGGTAGTAATGGTGGTTGTGGAGTGGCAGTAATGGAGACAATGGTGGTGGTAGAGTGGCAGTGGTGGTGGTGGAAGAGGTCTTGGTGGTAGTAATGGAAGAGGATGTGGTGATGGTAGTGGAGGAGATGGTGGTGGTGGAGTGGTAGTAAAGGCGGTAGTAAAGTGGCGGCGATGGAGTAGAGGTGATAGAGGAGATAGTGGTAGTAGAATCTGAAGAGAGTCTTGGTTGTTGCTTACCATCAACTTTAATGAATCTTTCACAGCATCTCAATTTAAAATGGTTGTGTATTTTTTTTTCCATTTGTCTCTTCAATCTACTAGCTTCGTGTCCTTACAACCAACACAAATAGAGGGGTCTAACACAAACAAAGCTATTTTCTTCACGTGGTGGTGTGACAAAGTATGTTTCATGTTTGTGTGTATATATCTATATAATAAGACAAGACTGTTTTTAAAAACATTTAAAAATGTATCAGGGATATATTTTGATTTAATGGCTGAGATTAATCTTAAGTTTATATCAATGGTTCATATGAATAGATCTCCTGCCCAAAGACTTATGTCCCTAAACATCGTTGTTTCCCTTCCCACCTCCCCACGTCTTCCCTCTCTATCTTTCTCTCCCTTTCTATTCTTCTTCTTGAATACTCTTCTCATCTCTCTCACATATATATCTCTCTCTTCAAAACTTGTCTCTCCATTACTCTCTCTTCTCTTGCAATGACAATCGCAATCGCGACACTGACGACCACTGACCACTTTTTCTCTTCTTTGTGGGAGACCCAAACCCGAACCCTCTATTCCTGTTGTGATAACCCTGGTCCGTATTATGCTAATTAATCTTAATTATAATTGTGATTATGTGTTTGATATGATTTTGAGTGCCATTCATATGAATATATGTGGTTTTGAATTTCTATCTGTTCACCGTAGGAATATCTGTTCAATTTACTGTTATAAATTGAAAATTGAAGGCCTTGTCAGCCACAAAAATCGAAATTGATTACGCCACTGTGATTAGCGTAATTTTTAGAGCCTACGGTGAAATTTAATTGAAAATTGATTCAGATCAGATTAAATAGATTAAATTGATGAAATAGTGCTCAATTAATTAATATTAAAGCAATATGATTAAGGGAGCTTATATAAGGGGCTCTATTACACTTATATTCATTTGTTTTGAGCTGAAAGCTGAAAAATCACTCTAGAGAGAGGAAGTGAGGGCCGGCTAGAGAGAAAGAGGGAGAATTGTGCAATTTTGGCTCAAAGCTTAAGAATTGGAAGTTAAACTCAAAGAACTTGAGTATTTGAAGCTCCTAGGTGAGTAATCAACTCTTAATTTATGAGTTGAGTATGTAATTTTGTGAATTCAAGTGGTATGATAGGTCATGGCAAAGATTGAGTTGAATATGAAGTTAGAATGCACATGCATGCATGAAATTACTATGAATCACCAAGAAATTGCATAAGCTAGCATGAATAATGTTGAACATGGAGAATTAGGCACCAATCTTCACATGCATGCATAATTTTCATGGGTTTCATAATAATAAGTGTCATTTGTAAGATTTGGAATAGAAATGAAGTCAAAAATTGACATGCATGTTTGATTATTGAAGATATGGAGCTTATATGAGGTTTGAATGCATGAGTTTTGATTATACAAAAGAAATGTTGAATAATTTGAGAATGTGACCATGATTTTGAGCAATTGGCCTCATATTGCTTGTATACTCATGATAAATAATGTGTTTCCCTATTTTTGGTACCTTAATCAGGGCTTTAAAGCCCTTGAATATTGAATTTGAGCCTCAAGAACAGTTCTGGAAAACCCAGAATTCATGAAGTTCGCTCGAGCGGGGGAACCGCCGCTCGAGCGTGAAATGTGAGCTCCCAGAAGTTTTGCAGTCAGTGATGTCCGCTCGAGCGGGGACATTTACGCTTGAGCGGGGAGCCATGTAGTGTGACCTTCAGCTCGAGCATCCGAGTTCACGCTCGAGCGTAAAAATGAGGCAACTAGTATTTTTGCAGACCCACGGGGTTCGCTCGAGCGGCGGAACCCACGCTCGAGTGGGGACCCCTATTTCAGAAATTTTGTAAAAGTGTTATGTGTTTCATTTTCCGTTCTCCTTCACTTCTAACCACTCTTAGGCATGCATTGAACATTATCAATGAGTTAAAAGGATAAGAAAAAAGCCTAAGAGGGATGTATGAATTAAAAACGGATTGAATCGTTTGTGACCCATATGTGTTATGTAATGTGTAGGGTCGAGCTCAAGGGTGAATCCACCGGCAGAACACTGTGAGTAATATCTTAATAAAGATATTTTAAAGTATGTTATTTGTCTAATTGCTTATTTCCCTATAAGTCTTATAAGTTTGTTAATTTGAATTGTGGACAAATGTTTGCTATGCCATATGGTTGGGCCAAAGGCCGTCTGACATGAATGAAAGAATGAATGGGCCAAAGGCTGTCTGACATGAAAGAAATAATGAATGGGCTAAAGGCCATCTGACATGAATAAAAGAATGAATGGGCCAAAGGCCGTCTGACATGAATGAAAGAATGAATGGGCCAAAGGCCGTTTGACATAAATGAATGGGCCAAAGGCCGTTTGACGCGAATGATTAGGCCAAAGGCCGTCGGACAGGAACGATTAGGCCAAAGGCCGTCGGATATGAATGAATTGGGCCCGAGGCCGTTTGATGTGTTTGGAACCACAGTCACTTGACCTATATGTATATATATATACTAGATAGAAATATGAATTGGGCCAAAGGCCGTCTGATGTATGTTGTTCTGAATACCGTTCGTGTACCTTTTTTATTTGATATTATTCACTGGGCTTTCGCTCACGCTCATTCATGTGTCTGTAGGTGAGCCAAGGGAGGTCCAAACCCAGCCTCAGTGAAGCTTGTGTGAAACAGTCAAGGTTTTTAAGAGTCAGCCCATACGTCTCACGCACGAGACTTATTTTCGTCCTTTTGCTATTTTGTTATACTTTGTCATGTTGGCGAGAACTTTGGATTATGGTTGTATATAGTTTTGATTGGCTGACCATGACTTGGATGATCCTGTTGTGTAGAGCTTATATGTTAACTTTCCTTGATGTGAGTTATTAATGTATGTTTGTGAAATGTTATGATGTGCCATGTAAGCACAGCTCTATGGACAAAAGTTTGAAATTGCTTTCGTTTGGCCCCCTCAACTCTGTTAAAATATATCTAACTTGGTTTAAGGCCGTAGGTAATCTCGTGATTACTGGTCGGTTATGTCCTTAACCCATGGGGGGCGGGTTCGAGTCATGACACCTGTCCTCCTCCTTCTCTCCTAGCCACCCAAACCCAAACCCTCGCGTACTATATAATATACGCTACAAGGGGTGAAGCCCATATAGACCACTGTGGGCAGTTTGTGTTCAACGAGAGGATTCGAAAGGCACAAATGGTGGTGGTGCTACAGATGGTGGTGGATCCGGGAATGATAGATGGTGGTGGTGTCGCAGTCTCGTTTGATCTAAATGGGTGGCTTTGAGGACCAATAGACGTGCCATTTTCAGCACTCTAGCGGGTCGCACCTCAGCCATTAGGGCCATTCCTGTGGATGTCTTAGCCAATGCCTACCAGATTTTGCTGTGTTATGGTGAATATGGCCATTCCTGTGTATTTTAAAGTTTTAAGATTTGATGAGTTTTTGAGATTCAAGTTTTTTGAGAATGGATTTTTTAGATTAATTCAAGTTTTTTTTTTTTTTTAAATGTTTGATTTTGTTTTGCTTTTGTGTTTTTAGGGGTTTTCCTATTTGGTTGAAAAATATTCCAGGCATCAACAACCTTGCAAGGTCTCTCTCTCTCTCTCTCTCTCTCTCCCCTTCAAGATTTTGTAAATTAAGCCATTACCTTACTAGATAATTATTGGTATTGCAGACAGAGATGCAAAGGTTCACTCAAAAAATTGTTTGAGTCTCAAGGTGGTCCTATCATCATCTCCCAGGTGTGGCTTTTTGTGTTTCTTTGCCTTTTTACACCGTGCCTTTCCCCTTCTCTCTCTATCGGGCTGTGACTGTTTTCAAGGTTCTGATAATGGCTTGATAATTTAGGTTGGGCAACAATTGATTTCTTATTGATTTACAGTTTCCAGTGAAACTCATTTTTGAACTAAAATGTATTAGATTGGTATTACTTGCTTAGAAATCAATTGGTTACATTTACATTTATATCAATAAGAAATCAATTGGTTATCCATATTGTTATTCAAAATGGTAATATCAATTTTCACCTGCATTATTTGAATTCAAAGACATGCTTGAAATTTGCTAGTTGCATTACCTGCTTTATTATACCATGATTCAAACTCAAAAACAATTTTTTGGATATAACTGTTTTTTAGTTTCAGTTATGTTAAAGCACAATATAAGAGTTTTGTTATACTATCATTTAGGTTGGGCTCAAATTTTTTGAATCAATCTAATACATTTTAGTTCAAATCCATAACTGTTTTTTAGTATAACATCACTCAAACCCATGGCTCAAACTAAAAAACACTTATATCTGAATCATGTTTTTGAGTTTGTGAATTTTTTTCAGATAAATATAAGAGTGATTTTATATTGAAAAAAGTTTTTGAGTTCTAGAAACAAAAGCTTTGCTTTCTATTGCTAGTGATACAGGGTTTGGTTAAAACCTCCCACTTGATGGCATTGTAAAAATTAACTCAACTAACTGGTTGGGGGCTATAGATTTATATATATGAGGGAAGTTTTTAACTGATCCCATCTCACAAATTTTAGAAGATAAGCCTAACCTATCACAATGGTCGCTAAAGTATGAAGCATTTGGCTGTGATATTGAATTCTCTTGGCTTGCAGGTAAGGATGTTTAAAACCTACCTTTTTTTCTTCGCGTCTTTTCATTTTTGTGAGATTCCCATTGAAGTTTTTCTTTGTTTACATTCTTTGCAGCCCATCCCCAATCAGAAGGTTCATTGGAGATCTCTTGATGGTCTCCCTAGCATTTTGCTTATTTGCTCAAGAGAAAGTTGATATTGCAGTTATTGAGGTTAACGTCTTTCGCTATACATCTTTAAAGCAATTTGACTTTCTTACATGACTCTTCTGAGTGTAATGCACCTTTTTCTGTAACTAGCAAAATGTAAATCTCGACAACTTGGGGTTGGCCAATGGTGTTTCTTCTGTTAAATTAAAATTAGTTTTTATTTTTCTCTTTTCATGTGCATAAATAGTGAAATTGTGGCATACTTTGACTAATATTGTTTTTTTCCAATTGAACAGGCTGGATTGGGTGGAGCACGGGATGCAACAAACACTATTTCTAGCTCTGGGCTTGTTGCTTCAGTCATAACTACGGTTGGTGCCGAACATCTAGCTGTACTTGGAGGTTCTTTGGAAAGCATTGCGATAGCAAAACCAGGAATAATTAAATATGGTCGTCCAGTTAGGTGGTTCTCCCTACATATTCCTACTGCTTTTTTGTGTCTGTTTCAATTGACTAATTATTGTAAATCGCATTCTAATTGCATTTGGCCTTCTGTTCTCCCGTTTTGCAACTTTGGTTCTAATGTACCATTCTTTGCATGTTACATCCACATTAGTGTATATAGAGCAACTTGGTTATGGCCTAGTGGAGATATGGAACATATGTTTAACATTTATACTGTCAGACATCTAATTCATATAGGGCTTCTTGATTGCTATTATGGCTACTAATGCCTGTTACTAAGTCAGTTAGTGTGTTTGTAGACCTCTTATATTATTGGTAATTTTTATTGGCTGATTTTGTTAGCCCATACATATTGCAAAATTAGTTGCTGAATTTCCTGTGTGCAACCCCGGAAGTCTAGATTTTTATTCTTTTATTTTTTTATTTTTGAAGTAGTTTGGCATTGACTTTTTTATTGACATTTTGGAAAGTCACTCAAAAAAGTTGTTTTTTTGTGAGTGCAAAAATTTAGTGGCTTTTTAGCTTTTCTTAGTTGATAACAAACATGCTTTTGACTTTTTTGATTATTTAGCCAAAATAAGTCAAAAAGCTTGCTAGCTCACCCCAAACAGGGTTTAAATGTCACTCAATTATGCTGGACTTATCTGGACTTACCTAGTGTATACTTGTGCGTGAAGGCACGGTGTAAATAATGTTGGGATTAGCATATAATTGTAATCCCAGCACTAAAATAACAAAAAAAAAAATCAAAGAACTTTAAAACCAATCTAACTTTCCATATTGGCGAGGTTAGCCGTTGGGTCGATGAAGGACGGTGAACTGGCAACATTCGGTGTATTTTAAAGTTTTTTTGTGGGAAAGTAAAAAAAAACACACTCACACACACTTATTTCTTTCTCTCTCTTGCCTTGAAAAGTAGACTCTGTTTTTTGTATGTTTTCTTTTCAGGATAATTGATAATTGATAATTTATTAAATAGTGTAGGGATTACAATTATATTCTAATCCTAACATTATTTACACCGTTCCTTCAGGCACGGGCATACACTAGTGTATCTATATATATATATATCAAGAGAGATTTATATATGGTGAGAGAGGGAAAAAAACTGAGCAAAAAAGATGAATATTTGTTATATAAAAAAAATTTAAAAAATAGATGAATAAAAATAAAAAGAGAGGAGTAGCCTTTTTTTTTTTTGGGTAAATAAGACATAAAATAAAACAGAAAAATTTACAAATTTACAGGGGGCATACCCCAAGCCCTGCCATAACTATACAAACCACCAACACAAACAAAACAAATGAAAAACAAAACTAACACACAGACTAAGGCTATGAAACCAACACTATATAGACAACAATAAGAAGCAACCACCAGCCATCCATATCAAAGCAAGGCAACCACGTAACAGCACCTAAACCCAAATAGCTATACAAACACCATGTCCATCCACAGTGGATAAGGGACCTGAACAGGATTCCGCAACCAACTGCCAACACCACAAATACATCAAAATATAACACAAAAACACTGCACTAGCAACCCCCTACACAACCCGTAGAGGTAGGAAATAGAGCAAAAAACTAGAGTAACAATGACACCATAAAATGGAAAGAAAGGAAGACAACTAGGAAAACCCATACAAGTTACTTGATAAGGCACAAGTTGCAGCCACCACCAAGCAACATGTTCAAACCCATGTGAATCAGTTGAAATAAACCTCCTAGAAGGGCGCAACTTGCAGCCACCACCACTCCACCAAACCCAAATCAAGTAACCATGACCAATAGTTGTCCATAGATAAACAACACCAAGACAGTCCATGTAATAAAAAATCAACAGGAAAAGCAAGCAAACTATATAGAAGCTCTCAACACTCAACCCACATATAATGACATCACACCACTCCAATATTGTCCTCACTTTAACCCACAGCTCACAAGCTCTGTATTAACATAGTAAGCACCCTTAACCTGCACATAAAATATATAGTATATAGTAAAGGTTAGAAAAGCATTCATTGTAGACCTCACATCCCTCGACCCACAATTTAAAGAATTAATTTTTGAGCTCTCTTCACTCAACCCACAATTTAGAAAGGGGATTACATGGCTCACATCACTCAACCCACAAGAAAACATATCCAAACTTGTTGAGAAATGGCTGTCAGCCTTTATAGCAATCTACAAAACAAAAACCCAATTAGTCAAGCCCTCATTTTGTGCTCACCTTCACTCAACCCTCATTATTAAGTGAACTCACATCACTCACATCATTAACTCTCATTCCAACATTGTTAGCCTGGGGTCTTTCAATATAGAAGATGAGAGGTTCTATTTTGCCAAGTACCAACTATCATCTGTAGAATTAGTCACATTATTCATAGAAAGAATCCTACCTCTAACCATAAGGATGATAGATTTAATGACAATCTCTTCAGGTCTATACTCCTTACTAAAGATTCTATTATTTCTTTCAATCCAAATATGGTACATAGTGCAAAGAAAGGACAATTTCATGATAATGGACTGCAAAGCTTTGCCCTTGATGGTCTTGGTAACATAATCAATAGTCTTTAGCCAAGACAAGTTAGGCCAAATCATGTTACACTTAGCCTGAATAGCAGCCCAAATCCTGCAAGAGTAAACACACCTAAAAAAAATATGAGAATGATTTTCCTCAAGAGCATTACAAAAAGGACATCTAGGAATAGGGACAACACCAAACTACTTCAATCTATCCCCAGTATTCAGTCTCTCGTGAATAGCCAGCCACACAATAAAACTAACTCTTGGAATGATGGGAGGCCCCCAAATCAACTTTGACCAGGGGACTTTCACACCTTTAACCCTCCAATAGTCCCAAGTAGATTGAATAGAAAACTTACCATCAGAATTCAAGCTCCATAAAGGCCTATCCTGAGAATCATTACTAGGCTTTGCAGGATTAGAAGAAACCCACTCATTGATCCCCTTAGAGTTAGAGAAAGGCCATTTCCAAGCATTATTAGAAATTATGGCACAAACTTTGGTCTCATAAGATAGACACGTGTCATGCAAAATCCTCTGCCCATACTTATCCTATAAGGAACCAAGGGGGTGCCAATTGTCGAACCATAAGAACACATTTTCCCCATTTCCTATCTTAAATTTGATCAGAGGGAAGATGATGTTCCTAAGAGATATCCACACCCAAGAAAGGTCACTAGGCTTTTAACCTGCCAAAAGCTCTTGCCTTTGCATAAGTATGACTTAACCCATTGGCACCACATAGAGCCCTCCCCTCTAAAAAACAAAAACCATACATGTTTCGCGATGGCAACCTTATTCCAAACACCTATATCTTTGAACCTTAACCCCCCTTCATTCTTGGGTTTGCAAATATTGTCCAAGCAATCTTCACACTAAGCTTCTTCAACTCAATCCCAAACCAAAGAAAAGATCTTAGGAGACTTTCAGTTTCTCTAATTACCTTTTTAGGAAGGATAAAGAGAGAAGACCAATAAACTTGCATAAAAAAAAGATTGGTCTGGATAAGTTGGGATCTACCTGCATAGGAAAGAGGTTTATTAGTCCAACTCCTAATCCTTTTGGTGACTCTATCGATCAAAGCTTGACAATCAGAGGCCTTAAGCTTAGTGGTAATCAACGGAACACCAAGATATTTTACAGGAAGAGTGCCCTCAGTGAGCTTAGCAATGTGAAGAATATCCTCTCTAAGCTTCCTGTTGCAGCCAGAGAAATAGATGTTACTTTTAAGGCTTAAAAAGTATTTCAGAGTTATTTTTGTCTTTTTATATTTTCTATCACATCTGTTCAGTTTTACACTTTGAGAATTTTCATAGGGAGGTTAAGTGTCACAAAGTAAACTTTAAGAGATTCATGTTTTTTGACCAATCTTTAAAAGAGTAAAGTGCTATTTACTCAAAATTTCATTCTTTCTCTCTCTCTCTTTCTCTCTTTTTTTTTTTTTTTTTCTTCTTCTCTTCAAATTCCTCAACGGAATATAATTGTAATAATTTGTCATCAATTGCTTTTACATTAATAATTCTTTTTTAAAATTCCTTCCATATTTTTATTTGATATTTTGTTTGACACAATGATTAAAAAAAATACTTAAAATTAATGGCTAGATAAGACAACGACGATTTGGTGCAATTTATTGGAGATATGGATAATTTTTAATAATTTGAATTAGATTGTTTAGTGTAACTCTTCCTTATAATTTATGAGATAAAATAAGGATTAGTTGGTGAAAAATTCTTACATATGAGCCATATATTATTTAGTCAAAGGTGTATATATATTTTTGTAAAAGGGACATACATTAAAAAATAGTCAAAAAATTAGCCAAAAAAGTTGTTAGAAAATTGTCAATAGCAGTGGCTAGTGACGGTGAGGTGACCAATGTGTCCTAAAAATAATTTAAATAAATTGAAAATAATCAATTATCTAAAAGTTATGGAAGAAGTGTTTGAATATCAATTTTTAATTTCTGTTTGGTTTTGAGTTTTTAAAAATAAATTTTTAATTTTTAATTCGTATTTTATTTTTATTTTTAGTAAATTTTTTTAAAATTTTGGTCAATTTATTTATTTATTTCTAAGATGTATCTAATCTAGATATATATCAAAGTAAAATGTTTATGAAAAAATTCTTTAAAAGAGAATTAATAAAATACAAAAAAATGCTAAATTTTATTTTATTTTTTTGTTTTTAGTATTTATTTAAAATATTTTTTATAAATTTATTTTTTAAAATATATTTAGATTAAATGAATCTTAAAAAGGAGATTTATTAGAAAATCATTTTTCAAGTGTTTGTATCCCAATTAATTCATATGATATTCTTGTATTCTAATAAGTCTTATTATTTGAACATTTAATCTACCAAATCATAATTCTCATATTTAAAGTATTTTGTGGATATTTCTATCCTTACAAATATTTTTTGAATGGTTAGCAATTTGGTAATATGAACATTCATATTTTACAATGTGAATATTCACATTGACGTATGAATATTCACATTGATAGTGTGAACATTCATATTGCCATGTTAGCGTTCATATTGATGGTATGAACATTCACATTGACGATGTGAACATTCACATTAACAGTATGAATATTCACATCACAAAACATTTACATTGTAAATGTGAATATTAATAGGGGAATGTTGGTAACTATGTTACTTATAGGACTTATTGGAATATAAAAAAATAATGTGAACTAAATGAAATATAAATAGGTGAAAAGAAATTTATGAGAAAATACC